AAAAAAAGAAGAAGAAAGAAGTAGAAAAAAGGCAAAGTGTCTCATTGAAACTTGGAGGAACCTTCACATATTCTATACTCATACCCATATCATGCAACCTTTTCGAAGAGTCCGAGCATCAGAGCAAAAAATGAGCCAACAATTGGAATGTTGAAGCCATTTCATTTTTAGGTCTCTAGCTTCGGGTCTTGGTTTGCATTTTCACATAATTGCAGCCTCTCCTTTGAGTCTAAAGGGTCTTTGATTATTGAAGCTTGGGATTCCATCGTAAGAGGTCAACCTCATTAAGAATAGTCCAAGCCTCAAGGTGGTTGCTTGTTTGAGCTCACCAATCTTGGAATCCCGAATGCTTGTTTGAGCTTTAGACGAATCAAGTTGCTCGTTTAAGCTTGTTGGGCTCTAATGTTTTCATCTTTATTTGATGTAAGATTTATCCTTTACATGGTCGACTTTATGATAACCGGCTTAAAATTAATTAGTGTCTTGCTTTTTATCGACCATATTGTAGACAGCTTTTGAAGGACTATTAAATTCTTGTTATATCTGTCATGATGCAGTATGTGATGATCGTGTTGAAGGGATCTGTTCCAATAGCGTTTGGCGGGACAGAGCAACCTGCAGCGTATGGAGAGTTGGTGTCTATTGGAGGACTTAACCCAGATGTTAACAAGAAGCTGAGTGCTGCTATTGCCAACATACTTGAGACTAAGTTGTCTGTACCCAAATCGCGACTCTACCTCAAATTCTATGATACTAAGGTAACAATTTAGAGCTTTCTGAGTTTGTAAAAGGTTGTCTTTGTCAGGCACTAGTGTCATCTCATTGCATTCTTCCTGCTTGTTTAGGCTCATCAGAGTCAAGAATATGCACAATGTCTTCATGCCTTGCACCAATTCTAAATCATGTAAACGAACTTTCACCGTTTAGATAGATGATTATTACTTTGTGCTATTATAATTATATTCTTTCTTTCTTTTTTTTAATCACTCTGAAGTTTTTTTTTTTTTTTTGCGTGAAGTTCTTGCCTTTTTTATTG